CACACACACACACACACACACACACACACACACACACACACACACACACACTTTCTTTGTTATCACACACGGCGCCCTGTTTCTCATAAACTGGACACATTTTTTTAGGTGCACAGCATATATCTATTGTGCAAAGTTAGCGGTGCGCACTTTTCTGAACGGAAATGTCTATAGGCCTGACTCTAGATCTATCCAGCTATTGCAGACGATTGTCTTTGTAATGTATAACGTTTGTGTAATTTCTGTTATTTCTACTATAAAACACATTACTGTATAGTGTTTTGTAAAGTATCGAATGTGTTGCTATAGATCTATATACAATGTACTTTGTCTTAGATCTACCACCAAAAATGAAGATGTCTTCAAAAAGAAATGTTCGTAAATTATCAATCATATTCATGCAATTCGTTAAGCAATCAATCAATTATTCAACTCTGCGTCTTCCTAGATTTTACTCAAAATAACTTCTTTTAACTTTTTCAGTCTCTTGTAATGACTTTTTAAAAAATAGGCTATTTATAAATGTTAGATCTAAATCTAGATCTAGATTCTAGATCTAGATCTAGATTTATAACAAAGAGTCTACTTGAGTCTACATAATACGGTCAAAAGGACATGAGTATCGATATCGTTGTTGAGCAAAACAATCTCAAATTATAAGACTTGTTATCGACTTCGTATCCCGTCAAACTTAGAGTGAGGCCTTAATGAATTTTCTCAGAAACCTGTCTTACGTGTGTGCGTGGAAAGGGGGGGGGGGCTTGAAGGTCAATTTTGTATTTAGTAGAGTGTACTTTCTCTTTTCTATTTATAGATCTAGATCTATATCATGTAGAATCTAAAATCTAGATAGATTCTAGATCTAGATCTAGATCTAGATCTAGATCTAGATATAAGATCTAGATCAAGATGTAGATTGTAAATCTATGTTCACGAGAGTAGCTGTCTTCCATCCTTACTTATTTTTCATAGCGCATTTGGTTAGTTTACATTTCAGTCGTATTTCACCCCCTTTCGTCGTCGCTGATCCTACTAGATTTTTCCAACACGTAAACTTAGAATCTTTATAGAAAGTACGTAAACTTACCCATATAGAGACACATGTTTGATTTTAGAGTGATTGAATATAAGCTATGTTAGGGAAGCACAGGCCTGCGAAACAAGGGAATTAGGGTATTGAGAAACAAAGTGAAGAGAATAAGAATGAACCCAGACAAGGGACCTATTGTAAGTGATTGTTCTGAAAAGCCTATGACTGGTTAAGAAATCGGCCTCACTTGGCAAAAATCGAAGAGAGGCGGAGAGAACGAAGCTTGTGGAAGCACGCGTCTTTGTAATATTGCCCGATGTCGAAATCAAATAAATCCCCAGTTCCCATCCCCGCGTCCAGTCCGTCTGTCCGGTTCTGCTGTCGCCGCCGGAGGGCGGGAAATGGAATGACTCATCAGGACTTGTCGCGCCGGTTTTCGCGACAAGATGGAAGCGGGAGTCCGGGCAAGATCCCCGTGCTTCCAGACACGCTGTTGAAGGAAGGAAAACAGCTCGCTCGGACTCAGGCGAAGCAGAAGAATTGTGCGAGGCAGGAAAAAGAACTCAATTTGCCTCCTCTTTTCAGCGGGTGGAACTTGAATTTCTCTCCCTTCTAAATACTTTAGTTTTCTGTAATACTACGGAAGATTGCGTTTCTTCTTGAGCAGTTTGCTACTCTCTACTAGGTCTTTCGCTCGTGATAGCTTTCAGATGTGTGACGACTGTGCTGGGAGGGTGTCAAGAGTCGATGAAGACAACTTATTCAAAGCTTCAATGCCGAAACTGACTGCTCTGTTCGGTACCAAGGAATACATAATACAATCATCCTATAATAATACTGGTACAAACACTTATACATGCACATACACTAGTTTATTTAGAGAATGGGCGTATTTAAACCCTTAAAAGTTTATGCATAGATTTGTTTATTTTATTGTTTTATATAAAGTTAACGTCTACACTTTATTTTTACTATAATACAATCCAAAGTTCGTGCTTTCTTCTCTTACATTCATTAAAAAAATAATCAGTTATGAGATGTATGGGCCAATAGGAAAGATGAATATTCTTGAAAGCACTCATGAGCAGGTTTATTTTCAGCATAAACGCACGACTAGCCAGCATCATTCCTGTCGAAACACATAGTATATACACGTATACTTTTGTGATGAACTTGGGGGAGGTTCTTCTATTGCTTTTTCCAAACAAAGAATTATATTTGTTTTTTTTGTCAGTTGAAAAGGCTTTGATTCTATACAAATCCCCCTATTTGTTTTTATTAGTCACGAATGTAGGAAAAAAAGACATAGTCATTTTCACTTCGGGAATTGCGTGTGCACGTGTGTGGGGAGGGGGTGCGTGTGTGCGTTTCAGTGTGAGCATGATTGTGTATCAGTATGCAACCTATTGTGAAAAAATCTCCCTTTTCTAGTTTATAGAGTCGACCAAACAATGATTTAATTTCTAAGCTTTACAGTTTCCCTTTCACATCGCTGGGCGCTAAAAAGGACATGTATTTTACTGAGCACATCGCAGCAATATTTGCATAGCCAGCTGTTGAGCGGGTTAATCGCGTTTAATGTAGACGCCACTCTATTGTCAATCATACTCAGCGGACGGGAGCCACAAGCAAGCCAACCGATTACATGACCAGCGTAAATAAAAGCACGCGCATCCGAGCGAGAGGTCTGTAAGATAACGGCTCACCCCCTATTGATGCGCTCACGCGCACGTGGGTACCCCAAGGGCAGCGAGCCACTTGCGTTGTTCTGTGTGAGCGAGTGAACGCGGGGCTCAGGCACGGCATGAACGAGTATTTCTCTGCTTTTCCTCTCTTTCTGCTGCCAGCTCTCGCGTTATTCTGGAGGGGCCGACAGACTCGTGCTGCCAACAGCAAACGACTCAGTTGGAGATTGCCTATGGCTTGTGGATATCCCGCACTGAGACCCATTAGAAGATGTGAGCCGTCACGCTGTGGTGTGGCAGTGAGTGGGAGATTTGTGGTACCTGTCAGCGAATGGAATAATTACTTATTGGTAACTAACCTGAGTATTGAAGGATTATAAAGTGCAGCGGTTATACATTCAGAATACGGTTATATCATTTGGAATTTTTTCTATGTTGGCACAAGAGGTAACAATGATGTGGTGCGATTCTCGGGCTATCAATTAATAACAAAACATAGTTTGGTTTAGGTAAGTTGTTCATCTATTTATATCAAGTGGGCGGTTTTGAGGGCGCCACAGGTAGGCCTTACCTCCTTTCCTTCCCTCTGCTATTTTTATTTGTCTGTGTTGGTTTTTCGAGCATATAATGATTGTTAGTTGGTTAATATGTTTCTCTTTATTACTAAAGATCGCTATATCAATCTTTTAGCTATTGCGATGCTTTTACATTGTGTTTTACTGGAGGAAAGCCGTTTTGATTAATTCAGTGCTCGTGTATAAATAGCAACATGATAACCAAGTATAAATGTTTTGTCTTGTTTTAGATCATTTCAGATAGAGCTGGAAAAATCTACGAATTTCGTCTTGTTGACTCCAACTCCAGCTTCGAGTGTAGCAGGAAGGCGTGAAAGAAGCAGGATCTGATTCTGATTCAGGAAAAATTTCATCACTGTGACGAGCTAACACAACTAATTATGCTCTTTTCTTTACGTTCTAAAGGATAACGTTCGAAGTGGAAAGTCTTAATCTGATTCAGACAGATCCTAGCAATGTTTGACATATCTGCCCATGCCGTCTATGATTTGTGAATGTGAAATATTTCAGTATGGCGGAAATAAGCAGAGAGACAAACAGCGGAAATATTACGATTTTGTCAACGGTGTACATATTTTCCTTTCCATCCACGACATGCACGCTTTTGTCTTTATTGTGGAAGTGCCAGGATGATTTCTAAAAGTTGAGGATTATATAGAAGGCGTTTTGTGATTTATTTCAATTTGACACCAGTGAGCTGACGCTATCACTCCAAGCTTCAGTATGATTGGGATGATAGCGAGGCGGTCCAGCCTCAACTCATTCGGCTCCATTTGCTACTGTCTGATCACCCTAGGCGTGCACGCCTACGCCAGCTACACAGCCATCTCCCGCTACAAGGAGAGCCAGGCTCGGGCATGGCCAGGGGCGAAGGGCAAGCCAGTGGAGTCGGGCTGCTTGCTGGGGCTGACCATCTTGTCTCTGGTCCTCATGCCTGTGTTCTGCGTCACCAGCTTCTTCCGGGTGGGCAACCTGGCTAACGATGGGGTCAAGCTGGGTCGGGACCATGCCTTAGGAGGTTCATCTGCTGACCCGGACAAAGGGGAGAACGCCCCTGAGACCACTGCCACCAGACTCAAGCGTGTTTGGCGCCATTTCTGTCCTTTGTCCCAGAGTCTGCACGTGATCGCAGCGTTCCTGCTGATGCTTCCGGAGACTTTACTGACGGCCGTGGAGGTCAAATACGAGTACAAGTCTACCGGTACGTTGATTTGCCCCGCTCTCTCTCTCTCTCTCTC